TTTAAAATTTTTAATAGAGACGGGTTTTCACCATGTTGCCCAGCCAGGTCTTGAGTTCCTGGACTTAAGCAGTCTGCCTGCTTTGGCTTCCCAAAGTGCTGGGATTACAAGCGTGAGCCACCACACCTGGCCCGCCGCACCCTTCTAAGGGTCTCTGGAACCTCTCCTCCATGCCCTGCTTCCTGGGTGACATCACACAGGTCACTGCCTAATCTTCTAGAACAGTGCCCCAGGACACTGCCTTGTTGCCCTGGACAACTTAGGAATTTGCCCCATCAAAACTGGCAGGCAGGGTTACCCCTGAGGAGGGGGTGGGGGAAAGGGGTACGGGTGGGACCCTCTCATCTCCCAGAAGGGAGATCAAGGCAGCCATCATCTGTCTGACTAGATGGTGAGTAGGGGTGGGCGCCCTGGAGCAAGGCTAGACTTTCCTGCTCCTCATTGTCCAGGACACTGGGCAGGTTGGGGAGGCACCAAGGGAGGCTGACTCTTGAGGCTGAGAGAGGGCAGTGACTGTGTCAAGGTCACCAGCAGGCAAGTGGGAGGTGCGGTATGTAATGGGAGTGGGAGGAGCAGGAGCCTCAGGTTAAGAGCTGAGAGACCTTCCTAGGTTCTTATTCCTTTTTTTTCTTTTCTTCTTCTTCTTCTTCTTTTTTTTTTTTTTGGTCTTTTCTTTTCTTTTTTTGAGACAGTCTTTCTCTATCGCCCAGGCTGGTGTGCAGTAGCCCAATCTCTGCTCACTGCAACCTCTACCTCCCGGGTTCAAGTGACTCTCCTGCTTCAGCCTCAGCCTCCTTAGTAGCTGGGACTACAGGTGTGTGCCACTATGCCTGGCTAATTTTTGTATTTCTAGTAGAGATGGGTTTCACCATGTTGGCCAGGCTGGTCTCGAATTCCTGACCTCAGGTGATCCACCCGCACTGGCCTCCCAGAGTGCTGGGATTACAGGCGTGAGCCACTGCACCCAGCCCCTAGGTACTTATTTCCGATTTGTCCCTGCTAGCAGGAGCTTTGTGTCTCTATTTGTACCGGGGGGGGGGGGGGGGATGGCCCCTGGGGGGGGGGGGTTTTTTTTTGTTTTGGGGGGGGGGGGGGGGGGGGCAGATGCCCTTAGTCTGAGGGGTCTTTAGTTCTGCTATGGGGAGTTGAGGGGAGTGTCAGGGACCAGGTCATGGGGTGGCTGACTCCAGGCAGGTGCTCTGACTCCTCCTCCAACAGCAGTGAGCAAAAAGTCTGATGTGACTCTTTCCAAGTGCTGCCTTCCCTCATTCCAGGACTCTAGGTCAGTCCCAAGTTACTAGAGTCCCCTTATGGCTTCTGATTTGCTGTATGATGCAGGAGTGCTCCTGTGCCTCCCACAACCTCAGCTACTCTGTCTGCGAGGTGCACGTGTGAGATCCTGGCCTGCCCAGTGCCCTGCGTAATGATGCTTCACATTCCCACACTGCTTCTCAGTTTGCCAAGCGCCTGCTCGTACACAGTCTCACCTTCTATACCTACTCTGGCTCCTGCTGTCTGTGATGCCCCATTCTGGAACTGGGACCCAGAGAGCAGCCAGATCTGGAGTCTGGCCTGGGGGCTCAGAGAGGCACCTCGATCCACTTCCTGTGGAGGGACCCTGATCTGGGGCAGGGGACTGCAGTGGGCAGAGCTTTGCCAAAACTCTTTCCATTGTTTAATCTTCCATGAGAATCAAATCTTGCCAACCATCATGTCAAGATGTTACCTTAACACTTTTTGTTGGAACCATGTATTTTTGGGCAGTGTATTCCTCCCTGCCCCACCCACCCTCACCAGTTATATTTTTAGTTACTTATCTGGAGGTGAAACTGGCACATATACAACTCTTTTCCCTGCCACAATTCTCAGAGGAAAGGTAGGTATTATTATTCCAGATGAGGAACCTGAGGCTCAGAGAAGGCCTGTCACCGGCTTCTGGTTGACACAGCTAGGAAATGATAGGGCCAGGATTTGAACCCAGCTCCACAGACCCTTTGTGCTGCCAGGCTGTGGGTCCTCTCCAGAGTCCTCTTCCAGGGCCCCTCCAGCCCTTCTGGGCTCATTCTTTTGCTCTGGAGCATATGGGGCCCTTCTCCGCTGTTCAGGGGTGTTTTGAGAAGGATATGAATCGGCTTTGTCATATATGAGAGGTTTTCATGAGACCCAGAACCAGAGATACTGAAATTCCTGGGAGGGGTGGCATTTGCAAAGGTAAATTAATGATGAGTAGAATGAGGTGCTACCCTTCTACCCACCTGCTGGTGAGGTAGCTTGGCCTAAACCTAGGAGCCAGGGATGAGCCCAGGGCATGGCTGCTGGAGCCCAGGAGTGCCAGGTCGCCCACATTTACTGACCCAAGATCCAAAAGAGTCTTGGCTCTTCTGTGTTTGGATCTGAGTGATGGTTTGGCTCTTGCCATCTGCATCTCCCTGAGTTTTTATCTCTCTGGCAGCTCTCTAGGGTGGGGAAGTCCTTCTATCAGACTGCCCTCACTGCTGCCTCCTGTCACTAGGCCTTGTCTTTTTCATCCTGGACTGGATGGTGGGTATGAGAGGTTTGCTGCTCTGGTGCCTACTGTCTGCTGAGATGTGTCTTATTATGTGTGGCCCTAAAAAGGCAGGAGCCACCAGGCAAGTTCTGCCACCTCTTTTCCTCATGGCAGATCCAAGAGGATACAGTTCTCAAAGCAAAGCTGGCTTTGGCTCTACTGGGGTTCCCTTTGGGTTTTATCTGACAACCACTCTGCCTGGGTGTCCACTGCTGAGGCCTGGGGAGGGGCAGTGATCTGCCTAGAATCGGGCTAGAGGCAGAGGAGGTAGATAGCAGAGAGTCACAGCCTGGGCGTCCTGAGCCCAGAGCCAGCCCCCAGCCACCCACTCATTCCCAGACACTTTTCAGGAGTGTGGTTTAGAAGGGATGGGGTGATTATCTGACTGTGCCTCCCACACTGCAGATGGGAGGCCTGGAGATCTAAGGCCATTCACACAGGCCTCATGAGGACCTGCAGCACACTGTCCAGGATTCACTTTATAGGATGCCCTTCGGGGTCGCTTGCCACCATGGCTCCTCCCTGCTCACCCCCACTCATTTTAAAAATGTGGCCTAATTTACAAACATCTCCGTGGCGCTTTAAGCACTTCAGGAAGAAACACCTCTATTTGTGAAGCACCGTGACAAATCCTCGACTCCTCGTTTTTTTCTTAGCACATTTAAGAAAAGCTGTTCCATCCTAGAGCTCTAGGCTTGTGAGGCTAGGAGGCAGCTTAGGGTTATCCATTCTGATTCCCTCCGTCTGTAAGTGGAAAACTAAGGGCCAGAGAGGAGGAGGCAGCGGGGCACAGACAGGAATGGAGGTGGGAGGAGGCTGAGATCCTCGTGCTGGTCAGGATGACCGTGGACTCACTGACACTGGCTAAGTGATGGGTTCTTGTTGGGCCCTGTTAGTTGCTCATCCACAGGAGCTCACCATAGTCATTGGGACAGACTGCCACACTCACCCTGGGCTGGCCTCAGAGAAGTTGAGCTAGTGGCCACAGTTCACACAGAGCAGATGGAGGTAGAGCTGGCACTAGGACCCAGGGGACAGGGGGGAGCCTCCTAGGCTGGAAGGGATGGCAGGAGGGCTGGTGCAGGTAGCTATGGAGCTCTGGGCAACTCTGCCTGGGGAGGTAAGGGAGCCCAGAGCTCTAGGCCAGATGCTCTAGAGAGCCTCGTCTAGTCCATAGGAGGCGTGCGTCTGTGCGTGCGTGTGTGTATGTGTATGTGTGTGTACATGCGCGTGTGTGCATGCTGAGAAGGGGTGCTGGTGGCCAAGGCCCAGAGTGTGGGGCCGGAGGGAGTCCCAGTTCAAGCTCCCAGGTAGGAGTAAGACTGGGGAGGAGATTTTGCCCATGTCTGGCCAGCCTGTGAACCTTGAGCCTTGTGGGTTGGATGGGCTTCCTGCTGGGTTTGCACATCCCACTGGGAATGGGGTTGGGTGTGTGTAGGCGTGGTGTGCCTCTGGCTTGGTGGGGGATGCAAGCTGTGGGCATCTCTGAGCTGCTGTGGGGCTGTCATCCCTGCGAGTTAGTCTCTTGATTGTCATGGGGGTGTGTGCCCATCTTTGGATCTCTGGGGTATTGCGTGGGGGCATCTCTGGGTTGTTCTGGGGACAGCGTGCCTGTGTGTAAATACTGTAGGTTGTTGTAGAGGTGTGTACCTGTGAATATGGGAGGTGGTGGAGAGAAGGGGTTCACGGTTAACTTCCAGAATTCCTCTTCTAGCACCTCGTGGCCCTTCCTCGCAGAGCCCACTCTCTCGGCCTCTCCTCACCCCGTCCCCGGTCCCCGCTGAGGACTGGCCCCTCGGGCGCCGGGTCCCCTCCCGGGGCGGCTGGGGCTGGCGCTAGGACCCTGCGGGGCGGGGCGGGGCGGGGCTCGGAGCTCCGTCAGCTTCACCTCCGCAGCCTGGAAAATCCCGAGCCGTGGCCGCCGAGCCCCTGAGCCCCCAGCCTAGCCGGAGGGGCGCGCGGGGCGGGGGCCCGGGGCGGGGCCGGGCGACGGGACCCACTGCTCCTCCCCCAGAGCCCCCGCGCGGCCCCGGGTCGCCCGGGCAGCTGCGGCGGCGGCGCTCGCACCCCGGCCCCGGCGGGCCCCGGCGGAGCGTCGGGCACAGGTGAGCAGCCCGGCCCGGAGGGCGCCCCTCCTGCCCCGCGCCCCGCGCCCCGCGCAGCGCCGCTGCGAGTTAGTTGAGCAGGTCGCTCCGTGGGCGCTGCCGCACCGTCCCTCCCCTCGGATCCCGACGGGCGCCCGCGGGCCACCGCGCCCCATACGCAGTCCCCACGCCTGCCCCAGGGGGTCTGGGGCACTACTTGGGAGGGGGCCCCCGAGGCTGTCCAGCGCCGGTCTGCCCTTCCCCGGGGCCAGCCTCTGCCTCTCTCGAGCTCTCCACCCGCCAGGACCCCGGACAGCCCCACCCGCGCCCCCAGCGCACTGATTCCCGTCCTCAAACCGGTCTTGCAGGTCCCAGGAAGGTGGCGTCAGCATCTGCAGCCGCGTCGACGTTGTCGGAGCCTCCGCGGAGGACCTAGGAAAGCCGGACTAGAACCAGGGCCCTGGGCCTCCCCACACTTCCCATGGAGAAGCCGGCGGCCTCCACAGAGCCCCAGGGGCCTCGGCCGGTCCTGGGCCGAGAGAGTGTCCAGGTGCCCGATGACCAAGACTTCCGCAGCTTCCGGTCAGAGTGTGAGGCCGAGGTGGGCTGGAACCTGACCTACAGCAAGGCTGGCGTGTCTGTGTGGGTGCAGGCTGTGGAGATGGATCGGACGCTGCACAAGATCAAGGTAGGGTTGCCCGCTATACCTGCAGCCTCCACTGCACCCTTACTGCCTCTCCCGGAGTCTCCTGGTCCTCTCTCTGGGCTACAGACACCCGGCTATGCTTCTGAGCCCAGAGAAAGTCTCCTGCCAGGGACCGGGAGGAGGCACAGTCGGCTGGGCCAAGCCCCATCACACAGATGGGCCAGCTGAGGCCTGGAGAGCAGGATTGACTCACCGTGGCTCTCTCAGCTGGAACTCAGGCTTCTGCATGCGCCTGCCTGCTCCAGGGAGCTGGGCTGCTCCCAGGCCCATCTAGGAGAGTGGTCTCCCTTAGGGAGCCCTCTGCCTGGGAAGCCTGCACCTGTTTCCTGACTTGAGTTATCCCAAGTGGGAGACTGGGCCCTTCTCTTTCTGATTCCTGGTTCTCTTAGCCTGAGCAGGTCTCCTTCCCTGCTTTCTTCGCCCTAGGGTGCCCAGGACCTGATTCCTTCCTGCCTAATGCTCTGCTCTTGCTCTTTACCTTCCCTCCCTCCCTGGCTGCTCCCTGAGCCTCCTGCAGGGACTCAGGATTGTGGCTGGCAGATCCTGAAGGCAGGGCTCCGATGCCCCAGCCTTGCACAGAGCCAGGCTGTAAGTGGGCTAGGGGAGGAAGGGTGGAAGGGGGCTGGGGTCAAGGGAAGCCAACATAGGAGGCAGTTGCAGACACATCTGCTGCTCACAGCTATCTTCCCTCTTCCTCCCAACTCCACAATTCTCCTCTTTGCAGGGCAGGCTTGGGGTTTGAGACCCTGGGAACCCACCTCCCCCAGGGGACCAGATGGGGCAGGGGCTGGTGAAGACTCTGGTTTAGAGGCCTCAGTAGCCGCCCCCAACACATGTGGGATTGCTGTGGGTGCTACATTTCCAGGGCTGGTAGGTCTCCCTGCAGTGGGCTCCTGGTAGTAGGCTGTGCCCTTCGCCTCTGTCTTCTTTGCCTTCTCCTTTCTTCCATCCTCCTGGAAATGTGGAGGAGTCCATCTTCCCCTTCTGCCTGGGACCTGGTCTCAGACTTAGTTCAGGCGTGTATCTTGGCCTCACACCAGGGCCTGAGAGGTCTGACCTTTCACCTCTGACCCTGAGCCCTTCTGTTTCACTTTGTCTTAATCATTTATATATAGTTCTGTCCATCCCCACACAATTTTCTGCTTCTCTCTTCCTGCCTTACCTTCTCCCCTCTGACTGTCTGCACCTTGGCCATCTGACTATCTTTTGCCTCAGAGTTTCCATGTGAGTCTCCCGTTTTGGGATTCACTGCCCAGAGCTCAGGACCCTGACTTGTGTCTAAGCCTGAGGCGCAGGGAAGGGGAAGGCAGCTGGCATGTCCCATTTTTTTTTTTTTTTTTTAGAAGCCTTGCTCTGTTGCCCAGGCTGAAGTGCAGTGGTGAGTTCTCAGCTCACTGCAGCCTCCACCTCCCGGGTTCAAGCGATTCTCCTGCCTCACCCTCCTGAGTAGCTGGGACTACAGGTGCACACCACCACGCCCAGCTAATTGTTGTATATATAGTAGAGTCAGGGTTTCACCATATCGGGCAGACTGATCTCAAACTCCTGACCTCAAGTGATCCGCCTGCCTCAACCTCTCAGGTTCTGTCCTCTTTGCCACCCAGTATCCAACACAGATTTAGCAGGATATTGTAGAAGGGAAGCGGAAGGAAAGAACGAAGGAACAAACTGAATGAAAGGTGAGCAAGGGAGTTCACAAGAGCCTGATTGTGACCTTCAAAAGGCTTCAGGCTGGCAGTACACACTGGGGGAGAAGTGTAGTTTCCCCATGAAGCTGGCACTCTAGAAAGTCAGGGGAGGAGGGGTCTGAGCAGAGGCCAGTGCTCCCACCCTCTGTGTCAATAGGGCGGAGCTACCTCCTCCATCTGGCTTGGTTAATGAATAAACGCCGCCCAGCCCAGGCCTAGAATTGGTGGGTCTAGGGGCCAGGCTGACTGCAACAGACCGCTCGTGGCCAGATCAGACTTGTCTGGTGGCCTTCCTTGTGGGTGGTGGGGACTTGGAAAAATTGGGCTATTATCTTCTGGACAGGCATATACCCCCCTGGGCAGCCAGGACCCAACTTTCCTTTTCTTTCAGACTAAGCAGATGTTGGAGGTGCCAAAGGGCCCTTGGTAATCCCTATGTCATACCCCTCTTGCCCCTGAGATGCAGGCGAGGATACTGGGGCTCACAGAGGGGCAGGGACCTGCCTAGGGTCACACAGCTGTCTCAGTAGAACTGGGCCTGGAACCCAACCTCTTGGCCTAGTCCTCCTTCCTTGCCTCTCCCTGCAGACTGCCTCCCCAGTTTTGCTCCCCACAATGGAGAGAGGGCAGGGAGAGGGGGTGAGCAGAGCGCAGATTTAGGAAGGAGGCTGGGACCTTGGTAATGGGCACCCCAAGGTGCCAGCTCCCCATTCCTGATCCTCTCAGCATAGCTAGTTGGAGCTCTGGGAGATGGATGGAGGCCTCTAATCTTCCCATCCCCAAGATTCCAGGACTCCCAGGTTCCATGCAGATAATCCCATTTCTGATAATGAGAGCCCCTGCTCTGAGCCAAGCATTTCTCCCCCTCATCTAATTTACCCTGAGGCTAGTCTGGGGCAGTAGTAATCTTGCCTTGTCTCCACATTACAAAGAAACAGGCTGAGTGAGTGATGTTATTTGCCTAAGGTCATGCCACAGCTGAGGCAAGAGTGGAACCCATGCCAGCCTGGCTCCAGAGCCCCTGCCCCTCTCCGCATGGGCTTGCATCTTAGTCAACACTGTGGCCTTTAACCCCATCAATAACTCTTTGAAGGCCTGGAGGACGCGGTGTTCTCATCATCCTATTCTTCTTTGATGGATGCGAAAGCCAAGGCCCACAAAGGGGAGTGGCTTGCCAAGGTCACTGAGTAGGTCTGGAGCCAGAGTCTCCAGCAAAGACTGGGTTGGTTGCTCTAGGAGGCTGGGACTCAACTGCAGGTGTTTGCTGAGTTTTTGCGCCCTTTTCCCCCTCTCCTCTCCTGCCCCAGCCTGCTCTGGGACTGTCCCCAGAGATAGGAAAGCCAGCTGCCCCCTGGATATGCCCTGTGCTCCTGATCCCAGGATGGGGGATGGATTCTACCTAGCTATCTACCTAATTCATTTCCTCCTCCTAATCTCTTTTCCCCTTACCTGGGTCCAGAGGTCCCTGTAAGCCACCGTGGCTCTGGGCCCAGTAGTTGGAGCCAGGACAAAGGGGAAGGGGCTGTTGATGGCCACTTCCACGCCTGCCCTCCTCCCTCCCTCCTGGCCTCCAGCCTGACCTGGCCCCAGGGCTGTACTATGCTCCGAATATTGGAGCAGAGGCAGACACCACCCACCTCCTGAGAGTCCAGGCCCTGTCCCAGGGACAGATGCTGAACGTGGATCCTGGGTATAAGGCAGGGGGCAGCTTGGAGCCTGAACTCAGGTCTTTCAAAGCCCAGGTCAGCTTCCCCATGGCACCTGTATTGGTGTGAGAAACGGAAGACCAGGATTTTCTATCAGTCATTCAACCAGGGCCAGTGGGTGTCCAGTCCTGGCTGTTGCATGTGACCTTGGTCCCATTCTTGCCCCTCTCTGGGCTGTTTGCCCATCTGTACCATTGGGTCCTCCTGGCTCCAAGAGCCTCTGAACGCAGCACCCGGGCTGGGGCCCTGGGGGAGAGATGAGGAGCAGACAGACAGACAGACAGACTGCAGAGGATGTGGCCTGCAAGGCCCTGCCCTGGATGTGCACGTGCTTGGCTGCCCTTGATGCCTGCCACGTGAGGGGCAGGGGAGACCTGGGCATCTCCTCAGAGGCCTCCAGACCCTGGTGGAGAGAGGACAGACAGTTCCAGGTGACCTCCTACCCACTGCACAGGCAGCCTGGGGACAGGAATGAGACCTGATAAGAGCCTGGGCCCCTGATGAGAGAGGCCTGGCCCTGGAGCAGGTGTGGGATGGGGTGTGGCTTGGCTGGCCACAGGAAGCTGGGCAGTGAGACCTGTCTCCTCTGACTTCCTGTCCTGCTGCTCCTCCCCTCCCCCTTTGGGGAAAGCTCCGGTGGCCCCTCCCAGCGCTGTCTCACTGTCCACCTACCCCATACCACAGGCCACCTGGGTTCCCGACTCCCAGGCCAGTGCTCAGCTCATGCCCTTCAGCACCTCACCTTCTCGCCCTGTGAAATGCCAGATGTCTCAGGGGTCTCCAAGGCCTTCCCACTCTTACCAGTCTCTGGGACACAAAAGGATCGTGAGGAAGGTGGCGCCAGGGCCACGTGCTTTCTTTATGTCTCCTCACTGTGTCTTCCCAACTGTCCTGTGGGATAGGTCTCCTTAATCCCATCAAGCAGACATGGAAACTGAGGCTCAGGGCAGGAATTCACATGTGCACAGCCAAACAGCCAGGCTTGGCTGAAGCTAGATCAGGACCTAGGTCCTTGGCTCACCAAGGCTGAGATCTCACCACTCCCCTGGGCTGGATTGTTAACATGATTGGGCCGGGGGGTCTCCCTGTGCTATGTCATTGTGGGAGGGTACCTTGGAGGGCACCCAGCTGCGCAGGAGTCCAGTCCTCACTATGTGACTTTGAGAGTCACGTCACCTTTCTGGATCAGTCTTCTTATCTGCGGTGGCAGGGGCACGAGTTAATCTATTTTTTTTTTTTTTTTTTGAGATGGAGTTTTGCTCTTGTCACCCAGCCTAGAGTGCAGTGACGCTATCTTTGCTCTCTGCAACCTCCGACTCTCAGGTTCAAGCAATTCTCCTGCCTCAGCCTCCCTAGTAGCTGGGATTACAGGTGCTCGCCACCATGCCCGGCTAATTTTTGTATTTTTAGTAGAGATGGGGTTTCACCACTTTGGCCAGGCCAGTCTCAAACTCCTGACCTCAAGTGATCCACCTGCTTCGGCCTCCCAAAGTGCTGGGATTACAGGTATGAGCCACCATGCCCACCCAAGTTAAGCTAGTTTTAGGGCCTTGGATTGGGTCAGTTCAGGCTCTGGCTTGGCTCTGCC